CGCCTGGGTGGCTCAGTTGGTTAAGCGACTGCCTTCGGCTCAGGTCATGATCCTGGAGTCCTGGGATCGAGTCCCACATCGGGCTCCCTGCTCAGCAGGGGGTCTGCTTCTCCCTCTGCCCTCTTCCCTCTCGTGCTCTCTGTCTCCTCCCCCTGCCTCACGTGTGCTCTCTCTCTTAAAAAAAAAAACCATTCTGGAACAATGTTGAGAGCTGATAAGGGGATAGGGGAAACCAGTTAGGAGTCATCCAGATGAGAGATGAGAAGGGTATAGTGGGGGTGATTCGAAGTGGCTGGCTTTGGAGGTAAGGCCAAAGGATTTGCTGATGGGGATGTGGAGGATGAGGAGAAGAAAGGAATCAAGGATGACTCCTAAGTCATTGCCCTGAGCAGCTGCAGTTTAGATGGTGAAGACTGGGAGAAGAGCAGCAGGTTGGGAGTGGGGAATCCTCCTAGCAAGAATGTTTGAGCCATCCCATTTTACCCAGGTTCACACCATCACCTCCAGAGCTGGCTGAAAACCCTATGCATCATTTGTGGGTAAAAAGCCATTCACTACTGGCCAGGACTTCAGTATCCCTCCCAGATGAAGCCCTACATGGCTCCAGGGGAAAGAGGGGAGCCAGGTGGGCTGCCTGCCTTCACCCTTCCTTGCCAAACTGCTTTGTCTTCTCTCTCCTCAGCCTCCTACCTCACCCCACCCCAGCATTAGAGCCAAGCAGAGACTAGCCTCAGTTTCCTTGTCTGAGAAAGACAAACTTTGTGATATTTGAGCACCCATAAAGATGAGGCCCAGAGTGGAGAAAGGACTTACCCACAGCTACCAAAGGAGGGTAAGACTAGGACCCGTGGCTCTCTAATCTGGCCAGTGGAGATCTTTATGTAATTAGGTACAGTGGAATGTTTTTATTCTGCAAGTCACACTAGAATATTCAGCAACCTGATTTTTCTTGTCTTTCTGGACTTCAGGAATGGGAAATGAAGAAGACCTAGAAAAAGGATGAAGATTTCATTCCAAAGGAAATACAAGATTGTATTGGAAACACTTTTTTCACAAGGAGATGCCAGAACACTGGAAGTAGCCCCCACTGGAAGTAGCCTCTCCAGGGCACCCAAGAGACCAGCCTTTATTGTCTGCATGATTACAGGGGATATGGGGAGGGAAGAAGTGGAAGGGAAGAGGGACATGGAGGGTGTCCTTGTCACTTCCCAGAGGGTGGAAAACAGGGGTGGAGGGAGATAGAAATCTGCACGGTTGTAAAGGTTTTGTTAAATGTCTTTGCCCTCACTGCTGAAGAAGAAATGAAAGCACATGCGAATAAGCCATTCCATCCCATTCTAGCGTCCCACTCCCAGGCTGTAGGGCAGAGGAAGACAGTGCTTGAAGCATCGGTAGGTAGTACCGTACAAAGAGACAAGCCTTGATCATCTGCTCACACTTGTGCCATTTGGATTCATATTGGGCATCCGTGACAACCTCTGGGCAACATAAAGAGGCCAAAAAATCAATAGAATTTCCCTGCCTGCGTAAAGGTGAACAAAAGCTACAGACAACATGCAAATTCTGCAATCATTCCTTATGTGCTTCAGAACTGGGCAGATGTGGCTACCAGAACCCCGCATTTGAGTTGTTTTCAAATTAGAGATCTGATACGCAGCAGGCGAGGGGAGGTTCAGCAGCGGACTTATTTTCAGGTCACAGTGAGAGTGACAGGAACGTGGATTTCTAACGTCCACAGGATGTTGCAGGCATTGGAGGGTGGGGTCATTTGTGGTCAGTCAGGTCCTTTACCTATTTCATATGACACTCAGGCTCCAGGAGCTAGGACTAGAAATCCAACTGATGCTCAGTATGTCTTTATCTTGATTTTGCACTTGAGGGCTCTCCAGTCTGCACTTCATATCTGCTGTCAGGGAGAACCAAAGGACAGTGGCTCATTTCTGCCAGGAGTGCCTTTTACTAACACTTCATACTTTTATAGGGAAGCAAGAACCTCAAGTCTTGGGCACTCCCCTTACTGTGCCACTCATTACTTTCTCAAGACTGTAGGCACTTTTTAGGTCTTTACATTTCCTTCCAAAAAAGATAAAACCTGTTAACTGTTAAGAGCTCAAAGGTTAGCTCCAGGAGAGAGAAAGAAAATCCCAGAATAACCTTTGGACACTTTGCTGGAGGTTTCACGTACTTTACCCTACCTAGGGCTTTACATACTTTTGCCTTATCCCAACTTTACCACTCTTTGAGGTAGCTGGAGACCAGAACAGGGAAAATAACCTGACCAAAATCACCTAGCTGGTCAGAGGCAGAGCAAAAGGCTTAGGGCCTATGAGCCTGGATCCACACAGGGCTGGGTTTGAGCCCTGCCTCTGCCACTAACCAGCTGGTGAGTCTGGGAAAGTCACTTGATCTCTCTGATTCTTGTTTTCTTTATCTGTGAAACCCAGGTTGACAGTTCCATTTTCCTCCCAAGACTATTGGGGAAACTCAATGAGATAGTATATGGGAAACATCTTGCACACTGTCTGAGAAATAGGAAATGCTCAGTCGATAGTGGCTCTTATTATTAGCTAGATAAGAAATGTCTGACTAAAACTCCCGTGTTCTTTCCACTGAAGAAATGTTTATATGGTAATCAAAGCCATCAAAAAGCTAAAAAACAACTAATCCATAACTGACAGTTTTCATCCAGATTCCACTTAAACATCTTCAATGAAAAAGCAGCGCACATAATCTGGATTGTTAATGTTCTTTCTAAAAATGTGGATCCTAGAATGACACCCAACACTCCAGTTATGTCCTCAGCATGTATTCTTCCTCATGCAGTTATTTGGGGGTTGAGCATTTTTCCCCACCGATAGATCTTGGGGATCATTGATAGGGGGAACACTACAGAATTAATAATAAACATTTATTGAACACTCCATGCCTCAGGCACTGTGTTCACAAGGTTCACAAGCACACAACCTGTGCAGTCACAAAGATTAGTAAGGCCCTGGGCTTGGTTTAATGCTCTGCTCTTACCCTCTTAATAATTTTTGAACAAGGGGTGTCACATTTTCCTTTTGCTCTTTAAATTGTGTAGCCAGTCCTGGTGCTAACTAATCACTTTTCCAGGCATCATCCCTTTTGTTTTCACTAAAACTCTGTGAGATAGGCTCTATTATCTCAGTTTTCAGTGAGGGAAACTGAAGCCCAGAGGGGTTATGTAACTTGCAGGAGCCCACAGGAAGTGGTGGAGGCAGCAGCCCTTCCTCTTAGTTCCAAGGTTCCATTTCATCCATGCCTTACCCCACCACCCCTCTTGCACTGCAGCATTCAGAAGCACACTAGCACTTAATAAATAGATGAATGATGGATGTACATATGCAGCATATTTGGTAGAAGTCAGTTAGCTAAGAGAAGTGTAAACAAAATGGCTAAAGCATAGATGCCAGTCCTCATCTGTTAAAATGCTTTGTTTGGTTTTTTGTTTTTGTTTTTGTTTTTTTTCAAGGTATAGGCTCATGGCTCTAGGGTGGATTTGAAGCTCCATCCTTCCTGACACTGCCAAGTTTTGGGACTATCAGATTTCTAGTGTCCCTGGATCCTCAGTGGGGGACCCTGAGCAGGTGTACCAACCCCTCTGAGCCTCACTTTTCTCAAATGTAAAAGGGGATCATAATCCCTCCTTGACCCACGTTGCCCTTCTCCTGAGGCCAAAAGGAAGCATCAGGTGTTGGTTACAACACATTTGGGCTGGGCCACGAATAGAATAAAAAGATGCAAAAGTCTCCAGCTCTGTTCTCAGGGAACTCACAGACAAGCAGAGAGAAAATTTGACCCAAATAGCTACAGTACAAGTAAAAGCCATGTTATGGTGATGAGGGCACACTTCCCATTCCTTACCTTAAGGACTACCCAGTAACTGGTCTGGCAACTCCAAGTGCCCTCAACCCTAATCACCAATCTATCCTCACTTCCTGACAGTTTTCCATACTAAATCTCTCTAAAATTCATCCACTTCCTCCTATCTCCACTGACATCAACCATTAATTCATTCAACAAATATTTGTTGAGAACCTACTATGTATACCTACTGTACTAGATGTCAGAAATCATGACTGTGAACAAGACACGCACCCTCTTGCTCAAACTCTAGTTGGGAGAACAAACAAAAAGAAAACAAACAAATAAAATACAAATATGGAACGAGAAATGTGCTAGACACACCTAAAATAGTAGCTACTTTAGATAGGGTGTTACAAAGGTCTATTAAGGGGTCTCCAGGACAGAATACAGCCCTCCCTTGCATGGACTAGTACAACAGCTTGTCTCCCTACCTCTTTGCTTAGACCCAGCAATCTCCATCATACAGGAGTCAAAGCGACCCATTAAACATGTAAAGGTTTTGTAACGTGTTCCCATTGCAATGAGAGTTAAGACTCAAGTTCATTCAACAAAAAATTTGTGTACTACATTAAGACACTGTTTCATCGTTCATTGGCAATAACCAACTCCTCTCTGCCCTAATGGAGTTCACATTCCAGTGAAGGGAAATGAGAAAATACACAACATTTAAAAACATAGCGAAGTCAGAAAACAAGGGAACTGGAGAAAAAAGCAGGGAAGAGTGATGGCGGAATTGGGCTTCAAGTTTTTTAAATCCCTCGCGTGATCTGTTCCACTAACTGTGTTGTGTTGCCTGGCCCTCTTTCCCCCATAGTTCAGCGCCTTACTCGCAATATACTCTCCCTCTGGACTGGTCTTTGCAGATGCTGTTTACCTCTACCTGAACCACTTTCCTCCTCTTTTCATCTACTCATTCTTCAGCTTTCAGTTCGAGTATTTCCTCTGGGGAAACTGCCCACACTTGGCCACAGCGTATTCCACGCTTCCGCGGCACCACGCCCCCACCTTTAACCACCAGTCATATTTTGACTTGAAGTCGCGTTTGCATTCACTTATTGTTTACAATTTCACGGAAGCTCCTTGAGGGTACAGCTGCGATCCCCCGTGCTGGCGGCGGATTTCGCGACCAGCACCGAGCCTAAGTCCCGCCACAGAAACCCGTCCTACGCGCCCAACACGCTGGGGACCGGAAGTGTCGCGTTCGGTCGGAGACACCGGATAGGCACCAGCACCGCGCGCGCACTGACAACCGGAAGTGTGGCGTTGGAGTCCGAGGCCCTGGGCTGGGAGCGCCCGCAGAGGCTGCCGGGAAGCGTGGTATGTCGCTTATCTCGTCATTTGGAGCAAGTGCGCCTGCGCTGCCTCCGTCAGCCGAGATCGGGAATATGGCCGCGCGGTCCGTTTGGGCGGTCCGGCGGCTGTTGCAGCGCCTCCTGGCCTCGAGTGCCGCGTCCGAAGGCAGGTGAGCCAGGCAGGCCGCGGGTCGGGGGTTGAGGATAGTGCGAGACAAGAAAGCTGGAAGGGCGGTTGTGGGCTGGAGGGCGCGAGATGACCCACCAAGCCTCTCGGCTGTCCGATCCGGCGCTCACGGCCCCATTTTACAGAGAAGGAAACTGAGGCACACAGCCGCGCCTCCTTGCTAGGCCAAGGAAGAGCCGAGGTCACGTTCCTCGGAAGTGGGAACTCTTCAGCCTCGAGCATCGACTGAATTGGGGATGTACGTGTCCCGGCCCTTTTCTCTCCAGCTGAGGTGTCTGCAGTTAAATTGGAATTCTCCCCGCTGACTCCCTGTGTGATCCTAGGCCAGTCCCTTCCCCATTATCTCGGCTTCGCTTCACCTGTCGGTAAAAGGAGGGCGGTCGACTTGGTCTCCAAACGGCCCTTCCACCTGCCCTCGGGAGTCTTTGTAGTTGCATTTGCTGCTTTTCACCATCGGCTGCGGCACCTTTTATTGATTACTTACGCTGACTCTAGAACTCTCAGGATTGTTCTTTTTATTCTCCCATTCAGTCGAAAAAACTGAGGTTTGGAAAAGTTCGGTAACTTTCCCAAACTCAAATACTCTGTAATGGTGGAACCCAGATTAGAAACCAGTCAGGACTCTAGAATCGGCGCTTTTAATTAGTAAGCAACGTTAATTATTCTGAGGGGCGACTCTGTGTTTGACTGTTTCTCAGAAAGTATAAAAATGAGTGAACTGTGGGGTAAGGTTGGACTTCTGAAATGTAAATTAAGCTGCCGGGAATCCGGGAATTGCGCATAACTATTTGTCACCTTTTTATTTTAACACACTTGACCTAGCACCTGGGTGCCAGATTGAATTCAGGGTTTCGGACTTTTTAAGTCTTTTTGGCAGTCTGTGATGTAGGGAAGTGACCAGAAGAAAAAAGTTTGCTTCTAATAAAATTTCCCCTCACTCCAGTTCTGGAGCAGGAAGAATTGAAGGGATCAGCCTCAACTGTCCTCTTCAGACTTGGGCTTTGGCCATTTTCTCTTTAAACTGGCCCTGGGAGTGTTATGACCTACTTTCAATTGGATAAATGTAGTTTGTTAGGAGTTTAGGAGGAAGGAGGTACTTCACCCTGTGTGATTTGCCCCAGATCTAAGGTGACCATATTTTCTGAACCAAAAATGTGGAACCACATATAATCTGACACCAGATTGTAATAATTGAGTTCAGGCCTGGCCTGGAAAGTCTGGGGCATAAAAGTCATCTTGCCCATAGCTTTCTACTGACTGTTCCCTCTCCTTTTTTTTTTTTTAATTTAAAAGATTTTATTTATTTATTTGACAGAGAGAGACACAATGAGAGAGGGAACACAAGCAGGGGGAGTAGGAGAGGGAGAACTAGGCTTCCCGCTGAGCAGAGAGCCTGATGCAGGGCTCGATCTCAGGACTCTGGGATCATAACCTGAGCCGCAGGCAGCCACTTAACCAACTGAGCCACCCAGGCGCCCCACCCTCTCCCTTTCTTGAAGCAAACTCATTTTACCCCCTTTAAATCTTTGCACGGATGTCACCTCAATGACTGCTCTTCAATATATGCCAGTTTATATGAGTAAATTATTTGTTTTAAAGATCTTTTGTACTCACAGATTGATTTTGTTGATTTTACTTCGAATCAGATTATGGGAATCCAGAAAGTGTAATGGAAACTTCCTTGAAAGAGGAGTCAGAACTGCTATAAGCCAAGATTTGTAAAGTAGCCCCTGCCCTAAATTTCTTCCTTTGTAAACAACTATATGTCAGACATTTGAGCTGTATGAAATTGTAGATGACAAACATGATTGAATATAAAGGTCCATTTTATTCACCTGTTTATAGTTCACAGTCTGGAACGTATAGTGTTTTATAAGTATTTAACTGACTTGATTTTACACAGAAGTGAGTTCTCAACTCAGAATTTCTCTTAACACAGGTTCTCTTTCTTAAGAGCCTTACTTCAGAGCTTGTCAAGAAAGCTATAGAATTCTAGGCCTAACTCCAGTTTGACACAGTCCCTTTGCTGGGCTTAATTTTCCCTATGTGTAAAATGAAGGATTGAATCAGAAATTATTTGTGTTTTGAATTCCCGCTTCTGATATGGCCCCTCTGGTTCTGGGCATTAGAACTTGGTTTTCTCTTACTGACTTTTGTGTCCCCACTTCTGGCTATTCCTCCTGCCTTGTGTTCAGTATCCTGATTCAACAGAATACTAGCTATGTCATCTTAAGCAAGTCATAAGCCTCTCTGAGCCTCAGTTTTCCCATTTATAAAATTGAGATGATAGGGGCGCCTGGGCGGCTCAGTGGGTTAGACATCTGCCTTGGCTCAGGTCATGATCTCAGGGTCCTGGCGTCAGGCTCCTTGCTCAGCTGGGTGTCTGCTTCTCCCTCTCCCTCTGCCCCTCCCCACCACTCGTGCTGTCTCTGTCTCAAATAAATAAATAAAACCTTTTTTAAAAAAAATTGAGATACTATAATTTCTCTCATACACCGTGAGATGTAAAGATGATTTACGTAAAACCTGACAATGGTGTCTGGCACTTAGTAAGCCCTTTCTAAGTGTTGGTGTTGTTACTGTGACCGCAAGCAGTTTGTCTGTGTGTGATGGCATTTCTTCATGTGCCCCCTCCCTCCCACTTAAGGGGATGGCCACATCCTTTCAGCACCGCCACCCAGAGAACTGCTGGTGAGGACTGCAGTTCTGAGGACCCTCCCGATGAGCTTGGGCCCTCTCTGGCCGAACGAGCCTTAAAGCTGAAAGCTGTGAAACTGGAGAAGGAAGTCCAGGACTTAACAGTGAGTAGATTTTGTCTGTCCCTCACATCCCCTCTCTGGTTTAAATATCCACGTACAGTTTTTGTGTCCTTTTTTTAAATTAAATTTCGTCTCATTGGCTCTTTACCTCTCCCCCCATCTCCACTGTCCTGCTAGGTATACTAGGCAAAGTAGTCTCTCGTAGTTAAAAACATGTTATGTCACAGTACTTACATACCAGAGGAAGCTCAGGGCCTGGCATGTAGTAAAACCTCTATAGATATTTGTTGAATGAATATGTCATTTATCATTGTACTCTGCCAGTCAGACTCCATCTGGCATACTCTGCCATACCGGGGTGACAGACAAGCTTTGAGGGCGATAATTAGAGTAGTTCCAAAGCAAGGCCACCCAGAATGGTAAGGAGGTAGCAAAGCATGTCTTGTGAGAGCAATTAAAGGAATCAAGGATTATAAGAATGAAAGAGGAAAAGATTAAGGAGCTAAACTAACTGCCTTCAAAAGATGACACGTTTTTAAAACTTACTGTTTGTTGTCCTGGAGTTCAGCTCAACAAAAGAAAGGGTTGGCAGTATTGGCTGTGTCTGAAAAAGGAAGCTTGTGCTCAAGATAATGAGCTTGAAAACTGTTGTGAAGTGTTAAGAGTAGGAGGCTAAATGACAGCCTATCAGGGCTGCTGTGAAGAGTAAGTTCCTGCTTTGACGCGGGATTTGTAGTAGCTGATCGAAGATGCCTACAGCTCCTAAGTTTTGTTTTTATAAAAACCTATCCCAAGGGTGAAGTTTGTAAAGTAAGCAAAAACATTCTTTTCCACCAGCAAGCATGTATTTTCTGATCATTTTGACTTTGCTTTTGGTGTCAGATGAGATACCAGAGAGCTGTAGCCGATGGTGAAAACATAAGGCGGCGAACCCAGAGATGTGTAGAAGACGCCAAGATATTTGGTGAGAGATTTATTTGTGATAAAAACTAAAATACCTTTGAGTTTGGGACACCTGGGTGGCTCAGTCGGTTAAGTGTCCGATTCTTGGCTTCGGCTGAGGTCATGATCTTAGTCAGAAGGTTGAACCCCGCGTTGGGCTGTACACTGGGAATGGACCCTGCTTGGGATTCTGTCTCTCCCTCTGCCCGTCCGCCCCCTGCATGCAGGCACTCTATCTCAAAAAAAAAAAAAAAAAACCTTTTAGTTTAAGGATACTTACTAGCAGTTTTGCAAACTGAACATAGTAAAAAACACATCTAGGTCCTAAACCAATCCTACCCTGCCCTTCCACTCTTGCCATATGTTTTCTAAGATCTTTATTGGGAATGTTGCCAAGTCAACCATTTGCTAAAATAATGCTTGCCTTTGTTTTGACCAAAACCTTTGTTACTTTATTTTTCAAGCATGTACACTTAACATTCTAGTGCTTATACAATCAATTCTGTTTAACTCATTAATAAACAAGTGAATCATTAAGATGTTCAGAGGAGAATCCAAAGAACAAGACGCATGGGCAATCAGGAATACTAAAATTTGCTTCGTAGACGCAAAACTGGTCTATATCCATAGTGCAGTAATCAACTGTATCTCCACCAGAGAGATGAAGTGGACAAAAATCATTTTCATTACTGTGGACACTACAACTATTTTCACTACTATGGACAAAAATCATTTGCATTACCATCAGTATTTACAACTTACTAAGTTATAAAATAACTCAAAAGACAAAGGCTCGGACCATATGGAAGCAGATAACTCTGGAAGTTGTTACTAGATCACATCTATTTTTTCACTGATGACCGAATAATCTTTTTGGTCAATTTGAAGTGTTTCAGGGGTGCCTGGCTGGCTTTGTGGAGCATGCAACTCTTGATCTCTGGGTTAGGCTTTTGAGCCCCACATCGGGTGTAGAGATTACTTAAAAATAAAATCTCAAATATATATATATACGTTTGAAGGCCTCACATTTAAAAAAATAAAAAATAAAGTCTTACAGAAATTTTTCTCTGAACACACAACATCTCGTTCCAAACGTGTTCATGAAAGTGTTAGTAATGGATTGAAGGGTAGAGGGCAAATCTGTGATTACTTGCCTTGGCTCATAATTTCATACAGAGCATTATACTTTGACTTCACATAGAATGAAGGTGCTTGAGGAGCCCTTGGATTTTATGTAGTCCAATCTCCTTTTACAAGTGAGCTGAAAAAATTCATTGGTGACAGAGACATGAGTCCATTGTCTCCTGACCCCCAGTCTATTAGTCTTTTCCCTATGTCACACTAGTTCCTGTTCTCTGGATTTTATCTGCTATCTGTGCATAGGATTCACTTCATTCCTATCCTGTCCCGTCCAGCCCCAGTGCTTTGGCATAGCCTTCTGCTTTTCATTCAGTGCTAGAGACATCACATTTCAAGGCTATGAGTATCAGCTTAAGTACTGACCCCCAAATTGTATTACTGATGTTTCATCCAAGTTTTAGTGTCTTATTTCCAACCATCAGGACAGGGCTTAGCAAATTACAGCCTGTGTGTTAGTCCATAAATACAGTTCTGAATTTCATTATTAAAAATCTATAGAAATAAATTTTCTCATTTATTAAATAATCATCTACATAAGATCCTTGATTTTTGCCTCTTGTCCCACAAAACCTAAAATATTTACTATATGGCCCTTTAGGAAAAGTCTGCTCACCTTTGAGCTACAAGAAATTTCTGTAGCAAATAAACCAACTGGTTTCTGGGGAAGACCTCTTGCCTGCTTGAGGGGAACAGGGTAAAATGGCTTACCAGAAGTCAAGCTTTGATGGGGTATATCAGTTATATCAATTTCCTCAAGAATTGATAAGGTTCCCAGGAACAAACAAGTATTAGCTAAGCTCAAAATAATTTGATAATCTAATGTATTCATTTAGAGAGCAAAATGTGT